GGAAACAATATTTCGTTGATTTAAAATAATTCTACCCCGCGGAAAGTGGAAAGTCCGATTCCCGAAAAATTACAACTAATCCGGCGTACTGAAATTCCCACATACCTTCCGCGACGTTTTTGATTTACTAAACGTACGGCGACGCGGGCTGTTCGTTTTGTTCCTGGGTGCGTCTAAATTATTTCACTACTTTTTCTCGGGCGAGAGATGCTTTACCAGGGGCGCAAAAAATCAGGGAAAGCGAAACAAACGAGCCCGGCGTGTATTTCGGCCGCGCAATTCCTCGGGCAGGAAAATAAATTAATCTTAAATAATTAAATTTCGCGGATGTCGCTAAATATACGAGTCTGGTTTTCGGGGAAAGGTTTGCCGCGGGTTTCGCGTTGCAAAGTTTCGCTTTTACATCGCTCGAAGGTGGAAACGGTACTTTGGGCTTTTAACGGGACTAACTCCCGTTGCCAGTATATTATCGGACGAATTTATATCGTCGGTCGAAACGGATGGCCCCCAAAGCGTGCGGAACATTCCTGAAATTTCGAATATTAAATTTATGATGGATCGCTGCCTTTCGCGAGGGTCTGCCGTTTTCCGAGAGTAGAGTCGAGGGAAGCTGATCCCGTGGGAGACTCGGCGAGGATGGAAGTCGGAAAATAAAGAGGCCGAAGTAACGTTGTCGTCGGGAAAGATAAACGTTTCGTCGCCGCTTCTTTTTCTAAATGCGACTCCCGAAGAGGCGCGATCAATCCGTCGTTCCCGGGCCCATTTATCGATGACAATGGCAAATACTGCTTCAGCACACGCAATCTACGCCACCGTAACGAACTCCGTATAACGTTTTGTCCTTGCTTTTCGAATTTAGAAGTTCCCCTTAAATATTCTGATAATAAGTGTATGTCAGGGAGATATTCTAGTTTAGCGTATTATTTTTTTGAATTCTTAAGAATTTTTCTACAAATACGATATCTTGCATATAGATTTATTTATGTTTTATAAATGTTCACAATTTTTTTGAAGGGAAAATAATCAAAACTTAGCGAATTATATGTCACTGAACAAGGTTTCTTTTAGACAAAGTGTCCCACTGGATTGCGATCACTCTGCTTGTTTGAAATGGAAAAATTAATAGGATTCTTGATTAGTATGATTGTGATTATGGTATGAATCGAAATTATAAAAAAAGAATTTTTCTCATTGGCTTTCCCTAAAACCACTAATAAGACCAAAAAAATTGAAACTTTAGAACAGCCCCTTCTTTTCAATCGTTTGTTTCGGAAAACGGTTTGGATCCTAAGAAAATCGAATCAGAAACTTTGTTAACGTCGCTTTATTTTACTTTTGTATGGAATTTTTATCAGATTTTATCTGCAAAAGGTATTTAATAAAATAACCGATTCTTGTCAGATTCTCTGCTTCGAATATAAAAGATGAAAAATTAAATTGCACGAACGAAAGGTAAAAATATTTAAAAAGTAAGATGTGAATTTCACAATGGACTGTATTATTGTTTAGTACAAAATGGATGATTTATTATTTTGAAACTTTGTGTAATAAAAAAGTCACGTGAAAAGATATAATTATTATTGATTTATCATCATTAATTCATTAGAAAAAATATAAAATATATTACTTAAGTGGCTTTTTCGATAAATAATAAAATTAAGTAGATTAGTTAAAACATCGGTCATTTTCTCTTGCCTTATTATTCCTTATTATTATTTTCCTAAATAACTATCTATGTTGTTAACGAACGTGTGAATTTGGTAGTGTATTTGACAGACGTCTGGAATATATTGCAACCACATTTTTTTTCGTACTACATACAAGATGGTCCACACAAATGTTTCATCCCATAACTCCGTTATCAGTGCATTTAGAGAAAAATGTCAATGAAAGAAAACAAATGGCTCCAAGAGCACTACATTTGTAGGATCGTATTTTTTTTATAAGTGCAATGGTAAAATTGCATTATGCTTTTTTTTCATAAATCGAATCCTTTCATCATTCTGCGGAAAAAAATATTGGGATACAATGATATATTTCATTCGATTGGACAACAAAATGTTATATTACTATGAATTAATTATCAACTTGACGAATCCATAAACAATTATTAATAGTCAAGCTTAAATACGGAATCTTATTTTGAATAAATTCCCTATTATAAATGAATTTAAATATGGATATTTTTTAAGAATCGACTAGTCCTAATTTGCAATTCTTTTTTTTTCACATTTGAAAATGTCCCGTAAACTTTTTCGAAGCTCCAATAACCCATTTTAAAGATGGTTGTCGCTGGCTGTGTTCTTCCAAAGGATTTTTTTCCTGAGTTCTCATTATCAGTCGTCCACTCGATGGCAACTTCGCCGCGACTTGGATTCGTATCGCGTCGTATACTTTAAAACGGTCCATTAGCCGCACGTACGATTACAGTAGGGTTACTTATCGATTACTATTATAATGGGGTTCGAGAAGTGTAGAGGAAGCCGAGGAAGGCAGCGTACGCCTTCCCGGCCCCTTTGCTCGGCTCGTGGTCGCATTTGTATGGACGGCGCAGGAGAGTGTGTCGCCGTTCCACATAGTAGCACCATAATTCGCAATAACTGCCGTAATAACCGTACCTCCTTACAGGCTCGAATACTATCGCGGTAATTGCCGCGGTAAAAATGCTTCAACATCGTTTTCCTTCTCTTTTCGAAGCAAGTTTTTTCGTGTGCATAGCCTCGTTCTACGAGGGGATCGTTACAGTGACACAGTGTGGGTCCGAAAGTCCCCAAACCCACAAAAAGAAAAGGAATCGTTAACACCGAAATGGTACCAAGGTTGGTAGGACAAGGTTCGAGATTTCTAGAAGGGTCACTTCACGCCAAATCAGTCCTTTTCCCTTTGGAATTTTGTTTGAAATTGAATACAGTGTAAATCATACGATATTAGGGCTAGTTCAAGACATCAGTTTGATAGTTTCGAGTTTATTAAACAGATACAGACCTCTAAAAACTCTTGAAGAACTTTTGTGAAAATGGGTCATACTTCGGAATTTTTATCTCGAAAACTATTTATCGTATCGAGATATATTTTCTTTTAGTTTTATTTGGAAGGGACTTACCTTTCTAAATAAATGTTTTCCAGAATGAAGAATAAATTTTCCAACGTCGAAAATAATAAATAAATTTTTATTTTTTAAATATAGGTTTGAGGTCGCGTTTTTAAAAATTTGGAAGAAATTGGAAACTACCTCTAATACCGTATGATCTAATTCTTATTCCAGAATGACCCACGAATATTTAAAATTCTCAGATGCATCTGAGATTCTCGGAAAAAGTACAATTTAAAAAATTCAAAAATTATAAAAGCTGATGGAGTAAAAATAAATGCATCCAATCAGTAATAAAAATTGTACAAACGATATTATATGCGCGTATTACTAATTCGATGCATCATTTTCATTCCGTCTTGCACCTTTCATAACTCTGCAATTTTATAAATTGTAATTTAAATTTTGGGGGAATCCGGACCTTCTTGGAAATCGTGAGATTTTTTCCAAATTGATTCCAAGAAAAATTCTCCTCCCGACTCGACCCGACATTTTCGAGTTCTCGCATACCTCTGCTGGCCGCCAAATGCGAAGATCGCGAGTTCGAATCCCGTATGTGCTTCTTTTTTCCTCGATTCCGGCAATACGACTGAAATTGAGTTTCCCCTGCACCGTCGAAATGTCTATACGAGTGACGACCTCAGAATGCTTACCTAATGCGAGAGTCTTGATCGTTTTATTGGCAACTACGGTAGGACACTCGTATCCATGGAGAGGTATAGGTTTTTAAATTCCCAGCGGGATACCTCAAACGTTTAATATGCTTAAAAAGGGAATTTTTAAACTCATTCTGAAACTAGATTACAGTAAAGTAATATATATATATGAGCCGTCTGTTTTGAAAGTGGCGTAATTCCATTTATGTTCAAATCGAGATATTGAAGGGTTTGCGTTGGATTAAATTTAAAAATATGGGTAACAGATGACATAGTAGAATTATGTTTTTGGGTTTCTAAGGGTGTCAAATTTATCATCCTAATTAGCATAATTAACAGTATTTAAGAAATAACGTGAAATGACGTTTTCAATTCTTAAGAAAGTACAAGTCCATGGGAAAAGTCCCTTGAAATAAAAATAAATGTATACACTTTTATGTTATAAAATCAAAAAAATATTCAACTTATATTCTTTGTTAAATAATTTTTACATTAAAATTAATATTGTTTCATTAATTATTATTCAGTCTTCTCCAGTTTGTGTATGTGGGAGGGATTTAAAATAACTATGGTGTGCAGGTGGTATATATGTAATAAATCCATTAAGTCCTTGTATTTTAGGTTTGTGAGTGGTCTCGTTGTTTTGTGTAGTGATACCAACTTGATATTATTAAAGTTTTTCGGTCTTCCTCGTTGCAGTAGTAAATCCAATGTTTTGAATGGTGCATCCTCGTTTGTTGTCGTTTTGTAGAATAACTTATATGGATCGCTTCTCAAAAATCTCAGCCAACATATTTTAAACCAAGTTACTCTTTTACCGTCAGTATTTTTTCATTTCACATTAATAATTCAACTGGTACTTTGATAATACTATGCAACAAAATAAAAAAGCTGGGATTTCATAAAACTTTATTGCATAATATTTTCCATATCCATTTGAAACTCTCACAATGGGACTTACACCACTTTCAAAATAAACTTTTTCATCACTTCATTAACCAGCAAATTTTTGTGTTACAAAATCTTAATGATTTTAAATATATTAGTAACATGAAATGCTTCAGAATAAAAAGATCATGTAAAAATGTAACTATTAAGGTAGCTAACTCGATTTTTTTGGAAAATGGACTTACGCAACTTTCAAAATAAACGGCTCATATATAGATTGAGGCTTCGTAAAAAATTTATTAGAAAATTAAATTAAAAAATTTCAATTCATTTTGGGAAAATTCTTTTCGGTTACGGGGGTCAATTACAATAATTTTTTGTCAATAGACATACCCCCGAAATCTTAACCATTTTCGAGAAAATTCTTTACCGAAAATACAATGTCTGACCAGAAACGAACGATTCCCTTGAAATTTCGTGTGTATGTTCAAAAAATCGTAACTTCTGGACGAATTGAAGGATTTTAATGATTCAAAATTCAAACAATGCGTGTTTATGGAGCTCTAGAGCCCCAGACTACTTGTATACCTCGTCTATGGTGAGAACTACTATCGAATTATTTTAACGAATCCTGAATCAACAAATTGGTATTCTTGATTTTCATCCTATTTTGGTCTCTAGAATCTCCCATTAAAATTTTTCCCAGGAGTGGCCGAACTCCCTGTATATTGCAAAGGCCCATAGTAAAGACTCGTGCCTTTTCGAGAACTGAAAATTAACCGTGAATTTTTGTATATATTTTATTTTTGCAACGATGCAGATCGAAAGAGTTGGAATACATTCGCGAGCAACTGTATCTCGCGGCTTTCGCCCCGAAGACGATGCAGCGGCGAGGTCAACGCCTTTCCTCGCCGATGGGTTTCCGAAACCCCGAGGCGCGCTCGTGCGTGTTCCCGTTACATTTTCAATTTTACGTCGCGTCTACTTTCCGCGATGCTTTTTCTCCGTCCGCGCGACGCATCTTGCCTCACGGCTCGATTCGTGACTGTCAGTTCGCCGTGGCGCATGCACCGAAAACTTGTCTGCCGGCTGTCACCGGTAACGTTGTGCAATTGCGCCTAAAGTTTTGTTCCACGGGATCGGGTTACAGGGTTCACGAGGCTCCACCGTGCGATTCGACGCCGGATAGTAAAACCCGGAGAAATCGAATCGACGACTTTCGCGCGGTCGAGAACGTAACGCGAGAACACTGTCTTGGTATTTCATCGTCGAGGTTTCCGTGCGAGAGGGCGGGGGCTTTTGCCGTCTTTTACCGCGGCGCAAACCCTTCCTTGCCGCCGGACGGATCGATAACGCGTACCTTTTCCCATTCGCAAGATTAATAAATCCATTTCCGGGGAGCACTCCTTTGTATCGCTCGCGCAAAAAGTCGGCCTGCGCGAGCCAACGTTCGGAAGAATTTCGATGGAAGCTTGAGGGATCTCGACGTGCCTCTCTGGCTTTACCCCGAGCGCTAGAAATCGATTCTTTTTTTCTTTTAATAATATATACATTATGTAAAATAAGTACCCGGTATTTGTAAATAAAACTCAAATTGCTTACTTGATCATCCAAATTTATTTTGTCGCCTTCAAAGTAGGCCCCATCAGAAGCAATGCACATACGCCAACGCTTCTCCCAGTCTTCGAAACACTTTTTAAACGCTGGAGAAGGTAGCGCTTTCAGCTCCTTCTGCGAATTTTCTTTTATGGCCTCCATCGACTCAAAACGCCTTCCTCGAAGGGGTAATTTGAGTTTCGGAAATAAGAAAAAATCACAGAGGGCCATATCTGATGAATACGGTGCTTGTTCGATCACATTTGTTGAGTTCTTGGCCAAAAATTCGCGTACCAAGATCGATGTGTGCGACGAAGCATTATCGTGGTGCAGAATCCAACAATTGTTTTTCCACACATCTGGCCGTTTCCGACGAATATTTTCACGCAAGCGTCTCATGACGCTGAAATAATATTCTTTATTTACTGTTTGTCCATCTGGAAGGAGTTCCGAATGAACAACACCACGATAATCAAAGAAAACAGTAGGCATAACCTTAATTTTCGAGCGACTTTGACGCGGTTTTTTACGGGTTGGTTCATTTTCTGAGCGATATTCCGAAGATTGTTGACTTGTTTACATATCGTACTCATAAATCCATGTTTCGTCACCGGCTATGATGCGTTTCATGAAAGTAAAGTCACTAGAAACTCGTGAAATCATGTCTTCAGCAACTGCTTTTCGATGTTCTTTTTGCAGAAAATTCAGCTCCTTCGGAACAAGTCGTGCAGCGACGTGTCTCATGCCCAAAACTTCAGTTAAAATGTTACGCACGGACATGTGAGACATTTCCACTTCATGAGCCACCTCTCTAACACTCAGGCGACGATTATCGATGACCATTTTTTATTATCTTTTCGATGTTTTTGTCAGTCGAAACCATTGACGGTCAGCCGGCACGCGGCAAATCTTGCACTTCTTCTCGGCCCTCTTTAAATGTCTTGTACCATTCGTATGTTTGCGTTTTTTATAGGCATCACTTACCATATGCTTTCTCTAACATTTTTAACGCTTCCATCGCAAAAATCGCAGAGCACACTCGAGATCGACTGGTGTAAATAACTGCCGTGAACACACTGGTTGTCATATTGCGATCAAATTTAGCGTAACAACTGAATACAATGTTGCTTCACTGTGGAATTTGAAAGTGAGAAATTCCGGGAACTTATTTTACAAAATGTATATACATATACAGGGTGTCTCGTAAATAGTGTAAGAACCGGAAATGGAGGTAGATGAGACGATTCTGAACAACAATTTCCTTTGCAAAAATGTTGGATGGTGCTTCATTTTTTAATTATTAACGAAAAACACTGACCAATCACGGCGCTCGAATATTGGCTCGTACAAAATTTCTATAATTCCTCCAAATAATCCAGAATGTATCCCCTCTCCGATCAAATCGATTCGTCGAGTAGTTTTTCCTCGATAAATTCTTGAAGTTGAATTTTCTTTTCTTTTTATTTTTCCAAAATATTTAAGAACTCACTGTTAAATTTTCTACCTTTTTAGCATGTTAATTAATTTTGACAGACAACGCAGGTGTTTGTGTAGGCTTTTATCGTTCCTTAATTCTACTAAAGTATTTTACTTAAATTTTATAATAAAGGCAATCTATATTTCCTTTATTGACTAAATATTGAAGGCATTCAAAATTACTTCATTGGTTAGAAGAGACTTTAAATTATAAACAGGCATGTTTTAATAATCTCAGTAGCTCTATCATACAAGACTCCATTGAAAAGCATATTGATTACTCCTTGTACGGTCAGAATACTGCTGATATTAAAATTTACTTCATTGGCTAGAGACTTTATATTGAGACCAGAAATACATGTTTTTGAGCACTGAATAGATATAGAAATTCATTTATATTTAATGATAATGAACGTCGGTGTACACGAACCATTTACACAATTTATGCAATTGTGGTTCGAATACTCTACGTACAAATCGTTTTCGTATCGTGGTAGATTTCTCGACGAACCATCGTCAAAGTCGAAACTTGAAACATCTTTAACGACGCGTTTAGCACGTTTTCGACCATAAAAGAACGATAAATACCTATTAACAGTATGTACGGGTTCGCGTGTTTAGAAACGGATGTAATATAACCGCGATACGCCCAAACAAAGACGATCGTTTCGTTCGCGATTCTTCTCGGCCGAATCGCCACGGTATTTGCCACTTTGAAAAATTTCCTTGCGTCGCGTGTCTTGTGAAAGAAAGAAACATAAACTAAGAAATCGTTGTGTCGTTCCTTTTCTAAAAGAACGTTCGTTTATATTTGCGTAAGTATGTCACCACGACTCCATCAAAACTTATATATTGTATGCTATTGTACAATTTATAATATTGCATACTAAATGTATCGCACACTAAATTCAAGAAGTTCTTTTGTATTGAATATGTAATAAGACGTAAAACTGCACGGAGAAAAGCCATCTTCCTCAATTTCAGTAATATTTCCGAGTATTTTGCTACGAAAACGTAATGCTTCATTTTAAAGATATGATTATTAGAAATCTTGAATTGTAGCACAAATTCATTTCATTACGGACGAAGTTCCATCGTGCACGCACAAAGGGTTGATTATTGCTAGGGGCGCTTCGATAATAAGCACGAGTATGTAATTATAATTTATATTAAATTTACAATTATTTATTCATCGTTATTGTTTTGCGAACAGAACCGAATCAACTCGAACCATTATGAGCGAAATATAGTATATAGTTTATAGTAATTACATCTTGAAAACGAAGAATGAGCTATAATTACGTTTCACAATAGGATACTTGGAAATGTACCGTCCACAGCATATTTTTAAATTATTACGATCGGCGAGGAAACCCCCATTGTGCAATTTTACTGTAAAACAGGCACATTAGAGGAATGTGATGTTTCTGAATTTCTAAACTTGACGATAAATTTGAAATTGAGATATAATTCTATTGTAACGAAATTCCACTTTATTCGTACGAATATCCTCCCTTTTCAAGACGGATAAATAAATTTCCAAGACCATAAGAAAAATAAAATTATTTCTCTCCTACAAGAATATTCTGTACATTCAGAATTTTATTTTCCGCTGAATACCAAATATGAATATTTAATTTATTCCTCTTCTAGACTGAAAAATTGTTCTCGAGGACAATTCGTATCGATTCTCGATAGGAGAATGTTTTCATATTGGAGCGTTTAATAATTTTAAAATTTCTTTTTTAGGAAATACAAAGTGTTTAATTTTCATTTCATCAGAACTTCTAATAATTTTAGAAATTATTTTGTACGGAAAAAATCTGTGAAAGTTTGTTGTGAAAAATTGTTTAGATTCCTTCCAAAAATCGGATACGACTTCGGAATATCTGTAGAAAGTATCGAAAGTACCTACATCAAAGTTTTAATTAACTGTTTCAAGGAACCGTATCTTTTTGTTGCACCAAAAAGAGTTCGCTTTTACCAATATTACCGCCATAAAAACCGATGGTAAGTTATCCCTTTCAACTAGTATTACAACCACATCCCTGAAATTAACCACGATTACAAAGTTACAAAATTTTATACCGTTAGAATAAAGTCTCGGCGAACCTATCCTTTTTTTTTTGATCGACTCTGTGCATGGCTCTCGAGTTAAATTGGATTATTCGTGGGAGGGGGAGGAGGGAGGGGGAATTCCTATCCGAAGGTTCAAAAACCAGTCAGTGTTTATACGGCCATTATTATTTACGACAAGCATGCAAGTTCTGGAGGAAGCTATGTATCATCGATAGCGTTCGAAGAAAAAGTTCATAAAGGAACGCCCGTGTTCCTCCAGTTTGGAAGATCGAATCGTTCTTTCCGAAGTATCCTGTTACGTAACCGGGGGCAAAATTGTTACGGAAACGCTTCTTCTTATAAAGTGTTCCTACCCCGGGAGTCTTTCTTCGCGACGGTTTTCCGTTTACTTTTCATTTTCTGAGTTAGTTTCGACTCTTCTTCTTCCCCGTCTCGTTCCAGCGTTTCAAAAGTCGCAGTAGACGATCCCAGGGTTTCGGAAGCGATCGGGAAATCCGGTCTCCCTCGGCGAAAGACTTTTTGTATTCCTGATTTCTGTCGGAAGTTACCCGTAAAATCGGCTTATCCGCGAGTTCCCCGCAAAAGAATCTCACCGGGAAGGAAAATTACGCCCTGACTTGCACGCGGTTGACCCTTACAGTTCGTTTCTTCTCTTTCTATCTATCTCTCTGTCTCTCTTACCCGCACTCCTGGCTTTGCTTTCGTTCGAGGAATCTTCACGTTCGTATCTTAACAGCCCATCTACGTTGTCTCGAGTACGTTTTGCGCTTTTCTTCATCCCGTTCGCCTATTCTTTCCCTCGACCGGCCCGTGGAAGTTTATCGCAAGGTTTAACCGTGCGCTATCCTTCCCAATGCTAGAACTGCAAATCATTGAGTGCTATTTCCACTTTGTCGACGATAAAAGAACTCCTACACCGGTGTTTATCCCGTTATTTTCTTTACGTCTACCTCTGTCGTTGATTAGATCCTCTTAATAGCTGTTACATCTAACGTTTGCGCGAGCATAATCGTTACGGTGGTCTGGAGAGTCACAAATTACTGTAAAATATAGTCACGTGTCGTGTAAGCATGAGTTTTCATTCCGAAAAATTGACCATTGATCGTAAAAATGGATCTACAGAAACAGCAGCCTTAATAAGTCACTTGCCATCTTCTCAGCTTTACACAGTAGAGTATTGGATCGACCAATTCACATAAGCACGAGTTTCCATTCCCCAAAAAACTGGCAGTAGATCATAAAAAATGACCCTCCAAAAGAACGTTAACAGGCCACTTTGTGGTCATCTTACCAACTTTACACAGTAGAAATTGCCTCATCAGACAAGCGGGACTGTTTCAAATGCCAAAACATACATTATTCAAACACAATCATTTATAAACATCGTGTCTACCCGTTTACACAATCTTGAACACTCTCTTTACGCATTTAAATAAAATCGTGATCGTGCCATCTTGTCAGTTTTACACAGTAGAGGTAGTCTCTTCAGACAAACAGGACCGTTTCAAATGCCAAAACATACCTATTATTCAAGCACAAACATCGTGCCTACCCATTTACGCCGTCTTTAACACACTTTGAATAAAATTACTTGTAAATGTTATAATTCATTTATAATAAATATGAAATTCTATCGTAATAATACGATAACCGTTTTTCTAGGCGAGCAGGTTGCATTGTTCTCCTTTGGTCGCGTGAAATCTCATAAAAATAAGATCGGCGCGTTATTAATTAGGCGGCCTCGCAATCAGCTCGAAAGACGAATGCCTTGGACGAAAACCCTAACGAGCTTTCTGTTTGAGGTGTTTGTAAAGCCCGGGTTCGTGCGCCACGCGATCATGCCTCCCTTTCGTCTCGATTCGCGGCGTCTCCGGGCGCATCTTTCTCTCTTTTCCAAAGTCGCGTTTTCAGCCTCGGTTATTGAGAGTCTCGCAAACTGTAAACTCGGCGAATTAAGTGCTAACTTTGCTCTCCCGCGAGAGACTTGGTCCAACGCTTCCTTCCGCGTACGTCGGAAAACTAGAACGTCAACACCGTCGCCCGACGAGTCACGTACTCGAACTAATTGCAGTTTTGTAAGGAGAAACGAATTCTATTTATGTATTTATTTGCCAAGTATACCGGGTACCCAACTTCTGTATATGAAATATTATAAACAAGCTTGGTACGTCTACGGAAGATCGTGTTTAGCCTGTTACTGGCCACCCTGCAAAAACAATACTTAGGTAATGGTATAATATTGGAGATTTAATACAGAATTCTATAAGTATTTTGGTCTTATACAGGTACCAAATGGTACCAGAGTTGTGCTGATTCAATTATATTGTATTTCATTTATGCAATTTAATTTTATTTCTGATTATTTTAACGATTAATATAATTGAGATACAATCTAATTGAAATAAAATTGAATTGAGATTAATTTATTTACGTGTTTATCTAAGTAATGTATAAATTTTATGTTCCTTTAACAATTGTAGAAAAAAGTTTAACGTATGCATAATGTTATAAATTTATTCTAATAATACCAACTTTGTTTTCATTTTATTTGTATTACTTCGGTTTGCTGAGTTTTCAAAATCTAGTTGAATACTAATGGC